ACGCATAGGCCTAGAAACTTCAACCTTGGTATGATGATTGGTCATGGCCAGCAGATGACCCCTATTGATTTTGGGGTCAAGGGGTCCAAGGTCAAGGTCACATTGACCTTGTAGGTAAAAACGGTTTCCGATCAATAACTAAAGAACGCTTAGGCCTAGGAACTTCAAACTTGGTATGATGATTGGTCATGACCAGTAGATGACCCCTATTGATTTTGGGGTCAAGGGGTCAATGTCATATTGACCCTGTACTTAATGAAGGTTTCTGACCAATAACTCAACAACTCAAGTTGCCTTGGTTGATATTTTTATATTGAACTAAAAATGCTTTTGGTAAACACATTTGAAGGTCTTATGTAATATAACAACTTGGCTGTTATTAATGAGGCCTACATGATTCATAAAATTTATGCATATATTATTTGGTAAGATTTGTAATAACTTAAATTGCTGCACACAACCTATGGGGTCACAATAATTATTACCTTGTTACCAGAAGATACTCGATAACCCTTATTAATTGTTTGTTCACTGGGTCAGAAGTCATGCATAATAACCTGATCACATGACTAATTGGCTGCTGATAGGGGGCATACATGTTTTACAAACATATCTTGTTAAATGAAGCTTTAAATGTTTCTACTTAAAGTAACACGATTTTATTATTACTCCTTTCTACAACAGTGTCAGTCTAAAGATAAATTTTGACCACTCTTTGCTTAGCTTTCTTCAAATAATTTTCAAGCCTTCTCGCTGAACAAAAAATAATTCCCAATTGTTCGAAGATTTCTTATATTTTGTAATTCTTTACAGATATGCATGCTTATATTAAGCTCAACGATTACTTACATCAGTGTTAAACATCAGGTTTACCGTGAACAAATGATCTCGAAAATAATAAGGGTTACAAACCCTAATTTAGAATAATGTTATTATCTTATAACTTCCCCGTTCGAGGGATTACACACTCGTTAACTCATTACGCGATATACGTAACTTTAAACGCTTTTTTTTCACCCCCACCCCCCATACTTTGTGTTGTCTCAAATTGTGAAAAATGCCTTATTTAGGCCCCCAACACTTGTTTTTAAATGAGAAATGTTTTTAAAAAAGTGACTATTTTTTCGGCGCAACGCCCCCCCTCCCAACCAAAAATACATCAGGGAATTGCGAGCAGGGGGATGTGTCTCTTCTGTTTGGGTGTTTTGAACGGGGCGGCAGCCCCCCTTATCACCAAGAAAATTGTGGACTTGGTAGAGGCTAAAATGACCCCAGATCGATCATAAGGTAACGTGTAACCAACGCTTAAAAGTATTTGACTTTATCTCAATCCATTGAGAGTTGCAGCACTTTGAAATGCATTCTGATGGCCAAAATCAACGCAAAATAGTGATTTTTGGCAATTTTGAGATGTCCCTTTGTTGCCATGGTAACAGGAATTTTAAGAATGGGCATGTTGTTTGCAATGCAATAGTCCAGTCAACATCTGTGCAAAGTTTGATAAGTATTGAAGCAGTTTTTATAGTTTTATAGCAATTTGAACTTGTAACAGGAGAATTTTCAATGAAACAGCCATTTTTCACAACAATCTCATGAAGTAATGGGTTAAGGAAGCGAGAAGTCTGGAGTTCAAATCCCAGGTAAGGCAACTCATGTTTTTATTTAAATTTTTTAAGCCAAATAAACATTGAATTGAATGTAAGTGTTGCATCTAGCCTTATAGCCAATTTACTACAGTTGGAAACAGCATGGGTGGCACTATACAAAAACAATTTGGTTTATAATAACACAGCATTCACCAACCGACAATCTGAGACCCAAACAAAGTCAGCGCCTTCTGTGCTTTGATTACTTATTTTTACATCATATATTAAACATGTATTTAATTTCGAAATTTTCAAGGCCCTGATTGCACATGTTTCTACCGCGAATATTTAAATCGACCCTTATTTCCCGAATATATGCTGTAAGAAGATAATTATTTTTATTATTTTCTAATCAAATGTTTAGAATCCTGTTTTTATTTGGGAACAGGTCAACTCTTTCCGTGGATAATTTCTATATACATTTTTATCATTTAAAGATTTTGGACTATCTTAAAATAGACGTTATCTACGATATAGAGATTAAAATGTTCCTTTTCTCCATGTACTCGTGGAGCCTTATAAAAAAACAAGCCACTGAAGAATACATTAAAATTGGCATAATTAACTTATGCAGGAAATAAATCTTTTTTCAAAAAGCAATAAATGATTTGAATTCCTTTGCTTACATGCATTAAAAGAATAATAACATAGGAGATAACAAAAGCTCAGTGAAGGCCCATTTACTAAAACAGTTAGGAAATAATAAGTAAATTCACTAGTATGACTAGATATTAATCTTCAATTTTTATTGTTTTCCTTTTAGCAAAGTTAAAATCTGAAATATTAAAATTTAATATTTTATTAATATGACATCTTCCAGGTTGCAAAGTGTTTTTTTTTTTGTTTTTTTTTCAAGTTTTGATATTCTAGTAAGTATATATCCAAGGACCCCATTGGAAATAAGCCTTCGGGCTTTCATGGGCAATCCGAGTTTGTTGCACACTTATCTATACTTACGTCGTCACATTATATTTATCTGGTAAATTGATATCTAGTCATAGGAAAGAAAGAGTTTTAGATTTTGTTCTTTATTATCATATCTTATTATTAAATGAGCCGCCAGTGATATTTATGTTTGACAAACTTCCGAAAATTTTATTAAAATTCTGTCACCAAATTTATATAAAATGCTTCAGAGTTTGTATTATGTATATGTGTGTTTGAACCTGAATCCATATCTATATGTTAAATGTATAAATATAATGTATTTAATCAAGAACAATAAAGGTTCGGATTTGAATTTAAATCAATTCATCTGTCATTAAGCGTGGAAATAGTAACATATTACTCCGTGTTTTTTTTTAAAAAATATAAATTATATAAATAATAATAATAATAATAATAATAACAATAATTTTATAGTAAATTATAGCAAAGGCACCAACCTGTCATATGTTAAACGATCCAATATTGTATTTTGGTAATAAAGCGTAATTTTAACACGCATTTAAATATTGATGATATAAAGTTTATATTGTAAAATAGAGAAAAACAGAATCCCTAAAGAAAGTTCAACACACCAAAATTGATAATGTTACAGGCTTGGTTTGATTGAGCCTATTCATGGATGGTACTGGAAAGTGCAAGTTACCATCCACGCCGCTAGCACCGGCTTAAGCAGACTTCAATATTTAACACAAAAATGGTGGAATTTTAAATTTAGAAATATCCGCAGATGTTTGCATACGGCGGTTATCATGGAACCTTCATTGTGACACAGTAGTGCCATTCCATAAAAAGCGGCGTATGGTCCCCAAGTAAAAGAAAACGAGTGCCTTAAACGAGAAAACAATGGGTGGAACTAAATAAAATATAATTTTGAAAGGGGGTCTGAGGTTATGAAGCCTGCATATCACTGATACGACGTCAGAAGACAAATTTAAAAAGCAGGCAACATACCCTAAGGGTGATTATACAGTATTCGAGTAGGAATACTGGAACCACCCAAGTTGAAAATGGCCAAATAGAAGAAACTAAAAGTACCATATAACATGTATACACAAAAATAATGTCGTGCTGAAAGATCTTCAATGATCGAAAATATAACATCATTGATTAAATGTACGGGGAGACTTTTTACAGCCGCCACACTGCACAAATAACACGGATGTGACAGTAAAATAGAGAAAAACAGGATCCCTAAAGAAAGTGCAACTCAACAAAATTGAAACTGTTGCAAGCTCGGTTCGATTGAGCCTGTTCATGGACGGTACTGGAAAGTGCAAGTTACCATCCACGCCCCCTAGCACCGGCTAAGCCAATGTTGAATGTGACAAGATTTTAGTTTTATACAGGTTATGCATAACACTTTGAGTATTAACTTCACGCTGACAAATTTACAACAGGAAACCGAACAAATACAATGATCATTGTTTTCAATGGAATTGAGATCGCACAAACTGGTTAATTTGACAGTTTGACACTTTCAGCTCCTGAGTCAATTAGGTCAACCTTTATTAGATTTTAACATGCGGAAATTAATGTAGATATTGTGCTCATTTATTTTCAGAATACAATGCAATACACTTTATTCAACTTAAAAACTTACAAAGTTTATAGCAATAATAATCAACATAAATACATGAAAAATGGTTAGCACAGGGTATATGCTGTCATTGAGACCTTCTGGTTGTCCTGCTTGGGTGTGTCCGGGGGCGTCGTCCTGTGAACGTTGCCTATGACTTGTTGATCTTTATTCTTGTTATTTCATTTACAAGTGTTCATATAGCAAATATTACAATCAAAATAGACTTTGATGGTTACTTTAATTTTCAAATTTCTTCACTGTTGGCCATCTGCAAAAGTATCTTCTAAAGTATTTCATTCTAGATTTCTGTATAACGGATATACGAGAAGAAAGTGATACTTATATTTTAAAACTCCATTGAACAGCATTTGCATAATCCTTTCCTCTCAGAGTACCATCATATCTCCCAGTTCTATAGCTAAGTAGCGGTATGTTATATACCGCACTTTTGGGTCAAACGCACTTGTTGGTCCAAAGATTAACCCCAAAGTGTGTTACAAAGGTACATATGCATTTTTAACATCGGCCAAACGACCTCACTTTGGGGTCATAAAAATAAAATCAATAAGAATGAATTGTAGTGATATTTTAAAATAACATCTTGTAGTTGATACTAGTTGTGAACTAAAAATAAGGAACGATGTAGAAGAAATGAATTAGGCCGGCTGACAATAGCAGACGATCGATTTGTTATAACTATAGGTTGCAATTTATTTTCATTATATTTTATATTCATAAAGTAAGATAAGTATATAAATAAGCACAATGGGGGTATTATACATTAGATAGCATATATCTAGCCGATAATTGTAGACATGGCATGTCACACATATTTCCACTTTATTAAAATCCACTTCCTTATACGATAGGATCTGTTGAGGACCAATTAAAGTTATGAATTTACTTTATTTCTAGTTATATTGAAGATCCTCGTGAGACATCTGGTGGAATACTCCTCTATCATTTTATGACTCATTCACTGAGGCAAATATCTGGAACTTGGAGATGGTGCAGCGCAGAGCGTCAAGAATGGTCCTCTCGGACTACAAAAGAACAAGCAGTGTGACGCCGAAGTGTGTGTTCTCCATGGCAAGCAATTAAAAGCTTGTGATTACAAACATAATATGTTTTTGGAAAGCTCCTACTTGATTCAAAATTAAAACTTTTTTGTTTGTTTTTGCCATATTCGTTTTAGAAGGACATAATTTCTCATGTCGCGACAAAGCTTTTAGGAATTTGAAACAGCAGAACATGCTATAGCTGTTGTGCAAACGAACGTGTAAATAGCTGCAAGCCAGAAGCAGAGAAAGTCCATTGCATGTACAACATCTATCCACGAAATAGCTTCAACTTCCGGTTCTTCATCAATATCATCCAGAGACCTCTCTTTAACGATGTTGTCGGGTTTGATTTTGTTTTGGTTCATTTGTCGTCTACACTGGAGACAGTTGGCCAGTTTTACGATTGATGCGTAACCGCAGGTTATTGGTTGCTCGGTTTCTTTACGAATGGATAGACGTATTTGTATTATACAAACAACGACCACAACCGTGCTCAGCAACACCATCGTACTCAAGTAAATGGCCATGAGTGACACGGTATCGGAGTTGTTAGGTAGTTGATCCGATATTATCGTTAGAAAAACTGCCAGTGCCAGGAACACGGTTATAGAGTATCCGGCTTTGTCGCCGGACTCAACTGGAAGAACAAACGTGAAAACATTTAAAATTGACAACAATATTACTGGTCCGATGATGTTGAAGAGAAAGAATAGTGGCTTTCGTTTCAGATGTAACGTAAACACGACAGCTACTTCGTCTGAAGATACGTCCTGTGATGTCGCAGACACGAGATCCCAAGCCGCATTTTGGACATAATGGTCGAGAACAACGCCTTCTAAACCTTTATTTATCTGCACTTCGAACTTTCGGTAACTCCATGCAGTGATCTTCAGATCGCATTTTTGTGTGTCAAAGGGGAAGTACTTTATATTCACTGCACAGGTAGATTCAAATATCTGAAAAAAAGCAACACTTTTATTCAATAAATGTTTATGAAAAAATATAAAAGTAATAGTGTTGGTATTTTTCACACCAGATCATGGCAGTAAGTCACATTGATTTTACTAGAGTGCAATTCAGTCACTGCATAGTCCATGATCATTCTGTCAAGATGTTGAACAGTACTAGTTGCCTTCACTTGTGCAAGGAAAGGATATAATCATTACCTGCCAGAGCAGAGGTACGGTGCACATTACAGCATAAAAGAACATCGTTATCAATCACCACGAAAGTGACATGCGCCGTCCGGAAATCGAACACGGAGCGTCTGATTCACAGTCCAACGCTCTACATATTAAGCTAATCGGACGGCTCAATAAATGTATATCAAATCTAGAAAAATATAAATCACTCTGGAAAGACCTAATTTTTAACTGTCTATTCCACAATGTTTTCAATCTCCAACGCTTCGATGGGTTAACTCCCTCTATATCAAAGAGTGTGCTGTTTATTTTTATAAATCACATCAATAATTATCTTCTTATCTTACATTATGTCATCATAACTTATAACATTATAGTGTAATATAAGAAGATAAATAATTATATGTTTTTCAAGAAATAAACAACAAACCCCTGGATAAAGAGGGGTTTATCCCCTCGATAGTGAAATGTATAAGTATACTGGTATGTACGGTGACATAATACGACATACGCAATCTTAAATTTAATACATGATGCATGATAGCTTACATTCAACGATTACGTGGCCGCGTGACGCTTTATGAGTGCGCACATGATATTAGCTATCTTGAGGGCATGTCGCGTCCGGCGTCCGCACGATATATCTATCACATGGTCACGTAATCGCCATCGCGTATAATACGTGTCTTCTTTCCATTGTGTCAAAATATTTCCATGAGTTAATTGATTTGCTGTCTTGTGCTGTATTGTTTCAGAGGGTTTTAACCCATCGATAGTGAAAAATACAAATTGGAATTATTCTATAACATGATTTCAGCACGACAGAAAAAAATATGTGTGTATGGTACAATTTCAGATCAGTAACACTTACCATTGAGGGCATCCAGCGAACCCAGCCATCGCTGTAAATCTGTACATTCAAGTACGAAGATCCCATGCCTGTAAATCTAGCAAAGGTGTTACTGAGTGACAAATCCGGTTTCCATAAGTCATCCTGAGGCTTTGAAATATACAATATATATAATATGATTATGAAAACATTAACGCATTTCATTAAATGATTACATTAAATAAGCAAAATATGTTGTTTAGCATTTAGAATAAAGTTTACTTTCGGTAACTCGAATTTCAAGGGACTGGACGTTTCACTCCGAGAGAAACGGAATTCGAGTCTCGTGGTTCTGCCGCCATTACGTTTCCATTCGTACATGTATATACATGTGCCATGATGGAATGTCTAAAGTAGTAGGTTTGTTATTGTTGATAGCGGCAAATTGCTGAAATCTTTGACCGTTGAAATGGCTGTAAAATCATTTGCAACTACAAATTGTAAGTGAACTTAAAAATTAATACATATATATTAACAAACATTCGTAGCAATGACAAAAATGCTAATCAAGTTGGTCAGTATTCATCAGTAATATTATTAAGCACATTTACGATAAGCACTCATGTCAATTCATTACTATTGAAGCACAATAACACATTTATTTAAACAGCAATGTCTAAGAATGTGAATTTATCATCGTACGGAAACGAAAGTAGCAAATATCGTGAACCGGAAGTACAAATTAATGTAACATTAATCATACAAATGTCATTAACATTGATAGCACACATCAACATCTAGGCTAGTATAGAATACTGGCACAATTTTACTTTCTTAAATGTTGTTCTGTTTGGACAATGGTGATTTATTGGATTCACTTCTTATTAATATCAAAGTTAAAAAAAAATGAAACACATTGATTTTTATTCGTAGCAATCACACAAGTTATTGCTCAACCCCTTGGACGATTTTGTTTTTGTTTTGTTAATGTACTGTACACTGCTTATAAACATACCTCTTTAAACGCTTTAACGGAATAAATTGTTTTGGTTGTACTAAATCTTTGTCGCAAGTCTTATTTGATGTCCTGTAAATTAAAGTTCAAAGCTTGGTCATGAAAAAAACCTGGATCCGATCTTGTAGAGACATTATCTAAACTAATCATGTTCGTATGTGTTTCGATTGTTTTTGTTTGTGCGACGTTTCAGTGACTTTTTGATACATATTGTGTGGCAATATTGCCCTGAGACATTTGAATATTCAATGACCCTTTGTCGAACTCCGAAGTACACCATACGCATTTTAAGATATGGCATAACGGTATACATGTTAAGTGACACAACACTTGCCTAACTAGCCTCGGTGATAAGGAGTTTCAAAGTGGAGGCTGTAGGTTCGAATCGTATTGAAACTGTTTTTCTTTCTTATTTTTTTTTCTTTTTTTTTATTTACTTTTCTTCAGCCAAATGCCGTCTAATTTCACCTCCACTTCCGCAAAAATTAACAGTAAAGAAATGTATATAGGCAGAATTTGCATTGGTCATTTTAACACGAGCCTGTTCGATTGATATTTTAGAAGAGTTTCCGTTATAAGCAGAGGTCAGTTCGATTGCGCGATGGCAAGAAGTGTTGGAAAAAGATATAAGTCAGAATAAATATAAAAACACAATAATGATATTTTTCTAAATGTTTCTAACAGCTTTTCAATGAATATATGAAATTAGATATGACAGATCGCCTTTTTGATACTTTTGCGTTCGATTGGGTTTCTCTAGTAGTTTCTAGTCATTATATTTTCTTCTCGAACCAGGCATAAGACGATTGAAACGAACTATCGACTAAATTACTGTTGCTAAATTCTTCGTTGAATTAGTGTACTGTATCTACTAATTTGTTTTATTATAAACTCATATTCCATTCTAATTCCATTTTGATTAAAATCAAATAATGTAAGTAATATTGTTTAAATCTAAGATGACATTTCATTGGGAAAAACATTGCAGGTAAAAATGAACTGAAATGTAACTATTGAGGACGAATAAAATGTTCTCTTTATAAGGAACTGTAAAATTGACAACATAGGACAATTACATGTTTGAAAGGTCACCTGTATGCAAAATTTAAATAAAATTTACCATGTTGTTTATGAGTTATGGATGTATTTCTGAACAGAAACTTTGCTATTAGAAGGTCTATTTTTCAGAAATGAGGAAACTCTAAATAATCTATGATAACATCATTATGAAAAATGTTTTACTATTGATAATTGTTAGAAAACAAATAATAACATTCAGGTTACAAAAAAAACACAAGTAAAAAAATAACTTCTAACCAAAATGTTTTATTATATTTATAAAAATGTTAACCTACCACACCCACTTTAAACACTAATTTGACCATTTCCCTTTGATAAAAAGCCTTATTCAAAATATCTCTTAAATTTAACACAATGAGGGATCGCACACAAAGCTTGCCCAAATTTTCTTAAATTTAAGTATACTGGTTGGCCATGCGAAAGAAAAAAGAACTTTTAGCGTGTAATCTTTATTTTATCTAACTTTGAATATATCTGGTATCATATTTGCTATTATATTTGGCATTATTTAGCTATTACATACATACAATAATTATATAATTAAAATCAAACACGTTTTCCTTCCATAAAGGGATATGAGAGATACATTAATGATGTTAAAAAGAAAAAAAAAAGAAAGGAAAAAATGTTGCCTCTTCTGGGTATTGAACCCACGCCCCTCTATTCCAATGTAGTGGTTCTAGCCTATTTGAACAATTTTCAAAGTGGAGGTAATGCATTACGAACAGTTACCTTAAACAAAGGCATAATAAATTAAAGAAATGTTTTATCCATTAATGCTGCATATTATAAAAATAATTAAAGAAATCTGAAAAATAAAATATGTTGTGGAGGATTCGAACTTACAACTCTGCGATTGCTATGAACCTATCGGGACGGAACTCTCGAGTACATTCCTATCATTAAAATCAATTAGCAAATCGTAATAACAAAAAAGCTTCCGAAAATTAATAAGTCTCAGGTCAATATTGTCATTTAATAAAATGATCTAAACTCGCAGGATAAACAATATTGACCGCGTTTATGTAGCAGTCCTGTTATGTGGCGTAACAAACCACGCCCCCAGATAAAATTTAAGTTAAAAGAGTGTAAGGGTGGAAAAAGTGGTTTCAGGGCGGGGAACACGAAAATAACCTACGACGAATATAGTTTCTACTCCGTTGTAATCGGAAGTATTCCATTTCAAGTATTGATCTTCCCAATATGCCGCTAAATACCCGGCGGTTTTCAGACTCTCTTCTTGCTCATTGAATTCGATCACAGCTGGAAACATCAACGATTTAATTGAGCCGCGCCATGATAAAACCTACATAGTGCGTTTGCGACCAGCATAGATCGAGACCAACCTGCGTATCCGCGCAGTCTGGTCAGTATCAATGCTATTCGCTATTAGTTTCTCTACTTGAAATAGGGTTTGTAGGCGAACAGCATGGATCCTGATCAGACTGCGCGGATGTGCAGGCTGGTCTGGATCCATGCTGGTCGCAAACGCACTATGTTGGTTTTGCCATGGCGCGGCTCTTACATAGCTTTAGTGTTCTTGAGCATGACTGTATATCTGTAAATGGACTGAAACTAATTTGTTAAAGTGCTTCCGCATTTAATGTTCTCCAAGTGGGTTCAAAGTGAAAGCATGGCAATTTTCAAAACATTGCAGCCCACTGCACTAAAACAGCCTTTAAACTGAATTTAAACATGCAATATGCATTAAACCTTGCAAACGATATAATTTGGTGTTCAGAAATTAAGCACATTCAAGGTAATTGTTCGTGTTGTGATATATTTTAGTTTTATCTAAACTAGTTCTGAAAACATGAAACTTGAAAATGAAATTTCAAACTGTTCATCATTTACATTGTAAACTGTGTCTTGATAGGACAATTGTCATACTTTTACATCGGACCAATTAGGTAAAGGTTACACGTGACTGAATTTTGGAATCACCTCATCCGAATAATATAGTTCCGTAGGCTATCAATAACTAGAACTCCGCGAGTCTGATGTGTTGCCTTGTGAACAATAATTATAGTTTAATTACAGTTTCTGTGCACTGCACTTCTTATCAATAAGACCTATCATTCTATGAAGCTTTAAGTCCATATCTTTTATAATTTAAGAGAAATGGCCTGAACAAAAAAGTATGAAAATTAAGAAAGGGTAATAACTCCAAAATAAAAAATGCAGAGTACCGGTTCTTTTACAATGTACTTTTTCGTAATGAGATCTATCATCCTATGAAGTTTCATGTCCATAGCTTTCATACTTGAAGAGAAATGACCCGGACAAAATAAAGTATGAAAATTAACAAAGGGCAATATCTCAAAAATAAGAAATACAGAGTACCGGTTCTTGTGCACTGCATATTTTTTGAATGAGATATATCAACCTATGGAGTTTCAAGTAAATAACTTTTATACTTTCGGAGAAATGGCCCGGACAAAAAAAGTATGAAAACTAACAAAGGGAAATAACTCAAAAATTAGGAAGTGCAGAGTACCGTTTCTTCTGTACTGCACTTCTTCTTAATGAGATCTATCATCCAATGAAGTTTCAAGTCCATAGCTTTTACAGTCGAAGAAGAGAAATAGCCTGGACAAAATTAATTCATTAAAGTATGAAAATTTACAAACGGCAATAACTCACAAAATAAGAAGTGCAGAGTACCTGTCCTTGTGCACTGCACTTTGGGTTATTGAAAAACATGCATACCAAGTTTGAAGTCAATCCGACTTATAATTACTGAGTTATGCTCCGGACAAGCTTTAGGGGACGCCGACGCAGACAACGACGCAGACGCAGACAACGACGACGCCGCCGACAAAAGTAACACCTATATGTTGCCTTTTCAAAGCGACACAAAAATGAAGTCCATACAATGTAGTTTTAACAAAAGGTTAATAAATTTATCTTTTATAAAAAACAGTGTATGATTTATAAGAACATTTGCAAGAATAATGGAAATCCCAACCAGAGGCATCATCGCGCGGGTTGAGTGGGCAACAATCGATATATTTCACTTTTGTAAAAAAAAGAGAAAGAGAGAAAAAATAACAACAAATAAATAAAACGTT